CTAAGATGAGACCTTCTCACCCGTAGCGAAGCTTAAGTCCGTCCGAATCATGTTAGCAATTGCCGCATTCTACGATTATGAGATATGGCAAATCGACGTCAAAACGGCATTCCTTAACGGCTTTCTTAAGGAAGAATTGTATATGATGCAGCCGGAAGGTTTTGTCGATCTTAAGAATGCTAACAAGGTATACAAGCTCTAGCGCTTCATCTATGGGCTGGTGCAAGCATCTCGGAGTTGGAACATTTACTTTGATGAAATGATCAAAGCGTTTGGGTTTATGCAAACTTATGGAGAAGCCTGCGTTTACAAGAAAGTGAGTGGGAGCTCCGTAGCATTTCTCATATTATATGTAGATGACATACTGTTGATGGGAAATGATATAGAACTTTTGGAGAGCATAAAGGCCTACTTGAATAAGTGTTTTTCAATGAAGGACCTTGGAGAAGCTGCTTACATATTAGGCATCAAGATCTATAGAGATAGATCGAGACGCCTCATAGGTCTTTCACAAAGCACATACCTTGATAAGATATTGAAGAAGTTCAATATGGATCAGTCCAAGAAAGGGTTCTTGCCTGTATTGCAAGGTGTGAAATTGAGCTCAGCTCAAAGCCCGACCACAGCAGAAGATAGAGAAAATATGAGTGTCATCCCCTATGCCTCAGCCATAGGGTCTATTATGTATGCCATGTTGTGTACCAGACCTGATGTAAACCTTGCCGTAAATTTGGTAGGAAGGTACCAAAGTAATCCCGGCATGGAACACTGGACAGCGGTCAAGAATATCTTGAAGTACCTGAAAAGGACTAAGGATATGTTTCTCATTTATGGAGGTGACAAAGAGCTCGTCGTAAAGGGTTACGTCGATGCTAGCTTCGACATAGATCTGGATGACTCCAAGTCACAAACCGGATACGTGTATATTTTGAATGGTGGGGCAGTAAGCTGGTGTAGTTGCAAGCAAGTCGCTGTGGCGGGATCTACATGTGAAGCGAAGTACATGGCAGCCTCGGAGGCAGCACATGAAGCAATCTGGATAAAGGAGTTCATTACCGACCTAGGAGTTATTCCCAATGCGTCGGGCCCGATGACTCTCTTCTGTGACAACACTGGAGCTATTGCCCTTACCAAGGAGCCCAGGTTTCACAAGAAGACCAGACACATCAAGCGTCGCTTCAACTCCATTCGTGAAAAATTTCAAGATGGAGACATAGATATTTGTAAAGTGCATACAGATCTGAATGTCGCAGATCCGTTGACTAAACCTCTTCCGCGAGCAAAACATGATCAACACCAGAACTCTATGGGTGTTCCATTCATCACAATATAACTAGATTATTGACTCTAGTGCAAGTGGGAGACTGTTGGAAGTATGCCCTAGAGGCAATAATAAAATGGTTATTATTATATTTCCTTGTTCATGATAATTGTCTATTGTTCATGTTATAATTGTATTGATCCGAAACCGTAATACATGTGTGAATACATAGACCACACCATGTCCCTAGTGAGCCTCTAGTTGACTAGCTCGTTGATCAACAGATGGTCATGGTTTCCTGACTATGGACATTGGATGTCATTGATAACGGGATCACATCATTAGGAGAATGATGTGATGGACAAGACCCAATCCTAAGCATAGCACAAGATCGTGTAGTTCGTTCGCTAGAGCTTTTCTAATGTCAAGTATCATTTTCTTAGACCATGAGATTGTGTAACTCCCGGATACCGTAGGAGTGCTTTGGGTGTACCAAACGTCACAACGTAACTGGGTGACTATAAAGGTGCTCTACAGGTATCTCGAAAAGTGTCTGTTGGGTTGGCACGAACCGAGACTGGGATTTGTCACTCCGTATGATGGAGAGGTATCTCTGGGCCCACTCGGTAATGCATCATCATAATGAGCTCAAAGTGACCAAGTGGTTGGTCACGGGATCATGCATTACGGATCGAGTAAAGTGACTTGCCGGTAACGAGATTGAACGAGGTATTGGGATACCGACGATCGAATCTCGGGCAAGTAACGTACCGATTGACAAAGGGAATTGTATACGGGATTGCTTGAATCCTCGACATCGTGGTTCATCCGATAAGATCATCGTGGAACATGTGGGAGCCAACATGGGTATCCAGATCCCGCTGTTAGTTATTGGCCGGAAAGCTGTCCCGGTCATGTCTGCGTGATTCCCGAACCCGTAGGGTCTACACACTTAAGGTTCGATGACACTAGGGTTATTAGGAAGATTTGTATGTGATTACCGAATGTTGTTCGGAGTCCCGGATGAGATCCTGGATGTCACGAGGAGTTCCGGAATGGTCCGGAGGTGAAGATTTATATATGGGAAGTTGTCATACGGTCACCAGCAATATTCGGGGGCATACCGGTATTGTACCGGGGCCACCGGAGGGGTTCCGGGGGTCCACCGGGAGGGGCCACCTGTCCCGGAGGGCCTCATGCGTTGTAGAGCTGTAGAGGGAAGGGAACCAGCCCCTTGGAGGGCTGGGCGCCACCCCCCCCTTGGGCCCATGCGCCTAGGGTTGGGGGGGGGACCCTAAAGGGGGTGCCCCCCTTGCTTGGGGGGCAAGCCCCCTCCCCTTGCCCCCCTCCCCCTCTAGATCTCATCTAGAGGGGGCCGGCCCCCTTCCCCCTTCTTCCTATAAATAGAGGGGCGAGGGGAGGGCTGCTACGACACATCCAAGGCGCAGCCCCTCCCCTCCCCAACACCTTCCTCCTCCGCAAGAGCTTGGCGAAGCCCGACCGGAGAACTGCCACTCCATCACCACCACGCCGTCGTGCTGCTGCTGGAGCCCTCTTCCTCAACCTCTCCCTCCTCCTTGCTAGATCAAGGCGCGGGAGACATCACCGGGCTGGACGTGTGTTGAACGCGGAGGTGTCGTTGTTCGATACTTAGATCGGAGTCCACCATGATCTGAATCGCTTCGAGTACGATTCCTTCATCCACGTTCTTGCAACGCTTCCGACTCGCGATCTTCAAGGGTATGAAGATGCACTCCCCTCTCTCTCGTTGCTAGTTACTCCATAGATTGATCTTGGTGATGCATAGAATTTTTTTTAATTTCTGCAACGATCCCCAACAGCGAGCGCGTGAGATTGGCGGCGAGCTGGATCGAGGCGCATTGGGCGATTGCCCCTCTGTTCGTGTGGTGCGTGTGACGGTGCTGGGAGGTGATGGTGATCGGGAGGCTGGGGGATCGGGCTAGGGTTAGAGTAGTGGGGGCGGCTGGGCCTCAAGAGTTAGGTGGGCCGGCCTGCGAGGTTAGTCAGGCCCAAGTTGCTCAAATCTTGGCCTACGGTCATGCGCAGGAATACTGAGTTAGATGCGCAAATTCTTCTAAAAAAATTAGGATGCACAAATAAATAGTCCCACATCGGCCCTTTGCATGAAAATCCACCTGTTTATATAGGCCGGAGTTTCACAAGAATCATCAAGCAGCCCAAGACAGGAAAAAAGAAACAGAGAGTGAGGCGCAGGTCGATATGTGAAAAAAAAAAGTACAAAGAGGGGGGCTTGTTGGGACATGCCTGTGCATGGGCTGGCTGGGTTGGGTTGGGTCTCTGAACATGTGGTTCATGGATGAGATGTGCTGCCATGTTCAACTACGATTAATATTAATTGAAGGTATGCAGCAGGACCTTTTACATCATCTTGGATAGTGGTCTGATATTGGCTTTGAGCTCACGGAACAACATGTGGTACTATGTTGACATCACAGATGATTGTTTTCATGCTCCACTAGACCAATCTATGGAGATCCACGGTTCACTCTTCTGACATAGAATAGCTTTGCACATGCATCCACCTACAGTTGAGCTGGAACCTGGCATCGTTGGAACAATTTTTTGATGAGCATGATGATCACTTCATTTGGTTGATTTACTCTGATCTGTTTCAGTTGTCATGACCTCGTACCAATTACATTTGCAGTACCCCTAAAAACAATTGCTAATAGATCTAGGGACATGTACATTCCTCATGGTGTTTCAGTTGCATCTGGATTACTTATCTGTTATTTTGTGGTATAAATGATCTGCCTATACATATACTATCGCTTTAGGAAATACAAATCAACCAGAAGATTTGTTTGGATCATAGCAAGCAGATTATTCCTAATGTACACTTTTTTAAGTTATAAATTGCACTGGATACTACTCTGTCCGTCTATGCTCCAACATCATTATGAGTCGGCAAAAATTACAAGTCCATGCAGGGAAGCCTCGCAAAAAGTTGTGCTAGAGTGTGATGACCAACCTCAAGGCATTGAGACTGATCATGTTCATCACGAATAGGTGAACAATATGACCACTACCGGCCGTGGTTACAAAAGTAGGTGACAACATGAATGAGCCGTTTCAATTGTGCGGTGATTTATCTCTCCTGTTGCAACGCACGGGCAATTTTCCTAGTATGGACATCAGACGGACGGTCATGGTGACGTTTAAACGCAAAAAGCGGCGTGGGCGGCGCTCTCTTGACCGGCGTGCCGCTTCAATACTCGCGCCAGCAAGAGGTCACGTCCGCCTCTCGCGCGCGTTGGAGATGCACTTACACAGGCAACTCATATATAGTGCATTAGATACTTGTAAGTATGAGATTTTGAACCTCTATGTTGTTCATGCTCCACGAAGTAGTGAACAATATCAACGATTCTTAAGATCTTTTTTGTTTCTTTCAAAAATAAAAAATAATAAAATACTACCTTTATACATAAAGTGGTACCCCCATATTACTTGTCTTAGATTTGTTGTATCTAACACTATTTTCTGCCGAATGAAGCCGCACCATGAAAGGCCCCGGAATCATCTAAACAGCTACGTACATGCCTACATCCATCCGTTGCATAATCAAGCAAAATCAAAGCAAAGATACCCAGTTGCCCATATAGACATACTTTTCTTTCTTCTCAGCCACCATAGTTAGGCTTGTGGTCTAATAGAGGGAGGCCACCGGCACAACAACTCATATAATTATCAAAAGTCACTCCAAAACTATCTTGTGAACTGGGAAGCCAGTGCCATCCGTGAGTTCTTCGAGCACCTCCAACCTCTCGCACTCATGCCACTCCCGCCGGTGCGGGAGAATCTCCAGTCCGATGAGCTCCTGCTCCTCGTCCTCCACGACGTGCCCGTCGAGCAAATGGACGCGCCCCAGCCGCCGCGACGCCCTCATGATCCGCTTCACAAAGCCAGTCTGCGACGCCACTCCATCGAAGGCGATGACCACGAGTTCTCTCAGGTGATGGTGCTGTGGTTGCTCGACCTGCACGTCTAGTGATCCAGCAGCACTCACCTTCTCCAAGTTATTGTCAAACTGCATTAAGATTTTCAGAGTTTAGGATATTTGCTTTGCAGAAATATTTCAAAATCGAAAAGGTACGTGTTTTGGCAAAAAAAAAACGTAGTTATTAGGTTATTTGGTCGACAAGGGACAGACATGAACATGGAGCGACTGCAAGTAAGGTGCGGCAGCAAATAGGATGAAAATCCAGAATGTGTCCCAGTCCGTTGGCACGTTTGCAATGAATAACTTCTTCAGATTGTTAAGCCGGCTGATTATGGCGGTTGGTTTAATCCACATCTGCAGACATGATATAGTGATATTTAGCACCACCTTATGTAGCAATGCAACATTATGATTGATAAAGACAAGATCTGTTATGGCCGGCCGGCTTAGGCCCGTAAGTTATCTTAGTTTTTATTTTCAGATTAGGCAAGTTATCTTAGGCAAGTTATCTTAGGTTGATTCTTCTACAAGTTATCTAGAATATAAATATAGGTTGTAAGACTCTTTTTGAAGGCAAGCAATAAGAAGAATATTATCTCCTATTGCCCGGCTCCCTGAGGAGCCGGAACCCTAGCCGCCGCCCTTCCCCTAGCCGCGACGGCGCCCTGCCGCTGGCGCGCCCGATCCTCGCCACGTCTCCCTCCATCCTTCCCTTACCACCTACGCCCTAGACCTGGTAGAGTACTTGATCCTACCAATTTGGTATCAGGTAACCGGGTTTCGACCATGTCTCCGCCAATTCCACCGCCACCACCCCCGCTGCCCGCCAACTCCTCCACCACCGCCGCCTCTGCGCCGGGCGTCACGGCCTCGCTCTCGGCGGGCACCACTGCGTTGCTCTCAGCGCCGGTCCTAACGGCACCCGGCACCACGCCGGGCCAAGGGCAGCCACAGGCCCCCGTCCAACACTCGTCGCCGCCATCACCTCCCCCGCAGCCGCAACAGTTCACGTCGGAGGCCATGGCGGGCGTCCTCAACGACCTCGTCACCGCGGTTCAAGGGATCCGCCTCTACCTGGCAGGTCCGTACGGGCCGCCCCCACCACTCCATCCAGCCATGGCCGCGGGTCAGCAGGCGCTTCCGTGGTACTCGGCATCGGGGGCCATCACCGGACTCCATCCAGCCATGGCCGCGGGTCAGCAGGCGCTTCCGTGGTACTCGGCACCGGGGGCCGTCACCGGAGGCTACCCGGCGCTCCTCGCCCCAGCGGCCGCACAGCCGCCTTGGGCGCAGTGGCTGCCGCAGATCGCGCCGGCAGCCCCGCCACTTCTCGCCACCACGGGGCCGCAGTGGCCCACCTGGACCGCGCCGGCCACGCCGTCCTCCGTCGCGCCCTACCTTCCAGCGGCCTCGGAGCAGGGTCCTCCACCGGCCCCGCCCAGCCCTAACCTGGGCACCGGCGCCTCGGAGCAGGGCCAGACCCAGCAGCTTCTTCCGGCGTCACCGCCGGCCCCCACGCCGCAGGCGCCGCCGCCATCGACAGTACCACCACCCGCATCTAGGGCTACGGGTCGGCCCCTGCACCAGGTGCAGTTTCCACCGTCACCATCGCCGATCCCCGCTTGGGCGACCGGCTCGTCTTCGGGGCCGGTCTACTCCACGCCGCCGGATCACCCGACGCCCTCCCTGCGGTTTGATCACCCCTCCAGCTCGGCGAACTACGCCCCGGCGCTTCCCGGCCCAGCATACGTGCCGGCGGCAACTACGGCCGCCCCCGGGCACGGCGGGCCGACACCCCCTCGCTTCGCCAAACTGGACTTCGCCACCTACGAGGGCACGGAGGACCCCCTCAACTGGCTCAACCAGTGCGAGCAGTTCTTTCGAGGGCAGCGGACGCTCGCTTCGGATCGCACCTGGCTCGCGTCCTATCATCTTCGAGGCGCGGCGCAGACCTGGTACTACGCCCTCGAGCAGGACGAGGGTGGCATGCCACCACGGGAGCGCTTCCGGGAACTCTGTCTCCTCCGGTTCGGGCCTCCTATCCGCGGGAGCCGACTAGCGGCCATCGGCCGCTTACCCTTCACATCCACGGTGCAGGACTACGCCGACCGCTTCCAGGCCCTGGCGTGCCACGCGCCAGGCGTCTCCGCAACTCAGCGCGCCGAGTTATTTGTGGGCGGTCTACCGGACCATATCCGCGTGGACGTGGAGCTTCGGGGACCCCAGGATCTCCAGTCGGCCATGTATTACGCCCGCGCATTCGAGCGCCGCGCGGTGGCCATCCAGCAGGAATCACCGTCCCAGACTGCTGGGTCGCTACCCGGACCGGATTCCGCGCAGGGTCGGCCTGTGCAGGCTTCTAAGGCACCCCTCGCCGCGACCGCGGGGCGCCCGTTCCGCCGGCTCACCCCAGCTGAGATACTCGAGCGTCGCCGCCAAGGGTTGTGCTTCAACTACGACGAACCCTACAAGCCCGGCCACGCCTACCCGCGACTCTTCTACCTGGAGGTGGCAGACTACATTCCGGAGGACGCCGTCGCCGCCGACCTGGCCGCCCCAGATGTCGAGAAGGTGTTTGACACTGGTTGATTACCTCGAAGAGTTCAAGCAAGCACTTCCCCACCTTACAGCTCGAGGACGAGCTGTTTGTGCAGGCGGGGAGAAGTGTTATGGCCGGCCGGCTTAGGCCGCAAGTTATCTTAGTTTTTATTTTCAGATTAGGCAAGTTATCTTAGGCAAGTTATCTTAGGTTGATTCTTCTACAAGTTATCTAGGATATAAATATAGGTTGTAAGACTCTTTTTGAAGGCAAGCAATAAGAAGAATATTATCTCCTATTGCCCGGCTCCCTGAGGAGCCGGAACCCTAGCCGCCAACAGCCCTAGCCGCCGCCCTTCCCCTAGCCGCGACGGCGCCCTGCCGCCGGCGCGCCCGATCCTCGCCACGTCTCCCTCCATCCTTCCCTTACCACCTACGCCCTAGACCTGGTAGAGTACTTGATCCTACCAAGATCATTTCAGGAATGGTTCCTCACCTGATGCCCTCTCAATTGCAGAAAAAGCTCCTCTACTGGTGGCGGCACCCCTTTAAAGAATTTGCTTAGTGAATGGGTGTTTTTTCTAGGAATCAAATCATGCTCACCAGTATATGCATATCCAGTTTCCAAGAAGTTCAAACTCACATGCCTAAGCCGAGGCACCTCACCGTAGCGTAGTTTGGTTGGCTGACCCCGACAAGCAAATGTTTCAAGACAAGGCACTGAAGTCAGATAGATTTTAAAAATATCGCAGTTGTCCACTTGCAGATTCTTCAACCTTGAGTTAGGAAAATTGACGTGTAAAGGAGCTCGGCTATGCGGACTATCCCTCAGCCTCAAATCCACCAGCTGCAAGCAATCTCTCAGAATATCGTATACGAGGTGGGGACGTGAACTTCCCTTGCACAGAGTAAGTGTTGTGAGCCTCTGAAAAAACAATGGGGGGGTTGCATAATAATGACAGAAATTGGATAGCAGAAGGCGTTTCAGCCGCACATTCTGGCATCTATCTAACCGATAGAATCCAAATTGCTTGCAACGGCTCTCGACGACAATCTCTAAATCTTCAACCCCCCCCATCTGCCAACCGCTGCCGTAAACCACTCATCAAGACCGGGCCTCCAAAAGGTCTGAAGCCTCAGCTTCTGGAAAGACCATCGCTGAACATTATCGGGAGGCAGAAGGAATGCGTTCACCCGTTTAACATAGCATCGCATGGCCAGACGCTCATAACGTTGCAGGATGGGTGTGAGCAGATGGACTTTCCACATCCACTGCTCATTCAGGTCTTTGATGGCATTATACCGATCGTACTTGTCACAGATGTCAATCAGATTCTGTGTCCTCTTCACCGCCTCATAGATGGCCTTAGTCTCCATAGCTATTTTCTTCAGCCTGTGGTAGCGTGGAGGGAGAATATCATAAATGGAAAGATCATAAAATGTGTGTGACCGCCGAGGAAGATCCAGCCACCGCTTTGAAAGGATAGTGGTGGTTATTGTTGTGCGCGCGTCTAGCTTGTCAAGGATCATGATCAGTATCTCCTCAGGTAAGCTGCTGATCTTGTCCTCGCAGCAGCTGCTGTGTTCCTCCTTCGTACGCATCTGGTTTCATTTCCATGTGAAAGAATATGGAGTTATGGTCAGTGAATTCCAAGATGCTTACCCAGATAAGCAAGCTACTTGTATTAAAAAGTACTCCCTCCGTTCCTAAATATAAGTCTTTTTAGAGATTTCAACACGGACTACATGCAGATGTATATATAGACATATTTTAGAGCGTAGAATCACTCATTTTGCTCCGTTTGTAGTCCGCGTTGGAATCTCTAAAAAGACTTATATTTAGGAATGGAGGGATACTTCCTCTGTAAAGAAATATGGTGATCTAAAAGGTCTTATATCTCTCTAGTATCACAGCGACTAACACCTTAAAGAGTGTTATTATCAGAAACAAACAAAAATAGTGACGTTCTTTTGCAGGGAAAACTAAATAATGACGTGAACAAGGAAACAGTTTAAGAGCAATTCTAACAAGTAGATAGATTAACCCCAGAAAACGCAGCAAAACAATCACCTTAAACTGCATTGTCTCTATCTACGGCATCAGTATATATTGATACAGTTTTGCTAAAGCACATCTAGATGTGCCATCACATTAAAGTCCTATGGCATTGATCTTACATGGAGATTCGTATGAGTATTTTCTTGATTCTGTTTCTTTTCTTGTATATGCTTGATTGAATCACTTAATGTGCAATAACTAAGGCACGTCTAGATGTACTCGCTCTGTACAGCATATTGATATAGTATTCCGTAACACATGGAGCGATCCAGAAAATACAGAGATTTTCTCTTGGAAAAATAAAAGAGGGGGATTTGCGTGGCCACCAGTTCAATTGCTGGACGAGTTTGAACATCAATTAGCAGCGAGAGCAGAATTGCTTCCAAAAGATGTGAAATTTATATAGGTAAAACAGGAGGCGGAGGAGGAGAGAGAGGGGATTGGGGGTGGCCGCGTACACGCTTGGACGAGGAGGGAGCGGCTGTGGCGATGGAGATATCGGATGCCTTCCTGAGCCGGCGGTAGGTCCGAGGCGATGTGTCCATGGCCATCGGGTCTCCGAGCAGCGGTGGCTGGCCGGCCGGCCGGCGGCTCGGTGGGGGAGTAGACAGCAGCGGCGGATCTGGGATTGTTTGCGTGCCGTGGGTGGTCAGGGGGGAGAATATCAAGAGATGAGAGACTTTTGTGCACAAAAGAATCGTATTTGTGTGTACTTCATCCCGTGCTAGAATCTGTGCCGTCGATCTGTAATCCAACGGTCACGTTCTATGCTAGTCGCTCCCGAACCTGGTTCGCTTCTGCAGCATTTTCGCCAGGGTAAAAAAGCGAGTTTCTCGCGGGGCGGCGGCGGAGGAGGCTCGTGCTCAGGTCAGTAGAAGCGGCGGAGATGGCCGGCGGGGGCGGAAGCGGCGGAGAGCGCAGCAAGGACCCGCTGGAGGGCGTCCGCGCCATCGTGCTGAAGCCGTCCGAGTCCCTCGACGAGTCGCGGTTCACCAAAATCGCCGGCGCCGACTTCAACGACGCCGGCCTGGGCCTCGACGGCCTCCTTGGGTCGCTCGCCTCCACGGGCTTCCAGGCGTCCAACCTCGGCGACGCCATCGACGTCGTCAATCAGATGGTACGGCACACCGCCCGCTTTTTCCCTTTCTCCCTCAGCTGCGAGCTTTGCCCTTTTCAGCATGGGATTAGTTCACAGAACCAGGCGAAGCAGATACTCCAGCATGGGAGTGATTCATTCCGTTTATTTCGCCATTTGGAGCACTTGGATAACCTGCATATATATCGTTTCGATGCCAGGGTGAAGCTGATAAGTGTTTTTCCCCCAAAAGTAAATCTTTTAGATGTATCCGAACAGTCTAGCTGAATGTGTGTGCGTCTCTTGTTTAATCCAAGTGCTTTGCATTAAATTAGCTGGAGGTGATCTGTATGAAGGAATGCCTGTCATATCACTATGCATGCTTCCAGAATTTCTGCCGATTTTCGCTACTCCTTACATTCTACTGACTCTTTCTCCACTGTAATTTGCTACAATGAAGTTAGATTGGAGGCTATCGCATGAGAAGCCAAGCGAGGACTGTGATGAAGCTGAACTTGACCCGAAATACAGAGAATCTGTCAAGTGCAAGATATTCCTTGGTTTCACTTCGAACCTTGTTTCTTCCGGTATACGGGATGTAATCCGGTTTCTAGTTCAACATCACATGGTAAATGCTCCAACTCTGTGTCACCTGTGCAAATCTGAAACCAAAGCAACCTTAAATATCATTTTAAGAATCTGTGTATTAGAAGTATGCCTAGTCGCCTAGAGATGTTTGTTCTGACTAATCAGTAGCTTCACTAACTGCATAGCCATTGATTTCCCAATCCATGCTAATTATTTTCCACAAAATTATTCAGGTGGATGTTGTTGTGACGACAGCTGGGGGTATAGAGGAAGACCTCATAAAATGCCTAGCACCAACGTACCGAGGTGAATTTTCTTTACCCGGGGCACTGCTACGGTCAAAAGGACTTAACCGGATAGGAAATCTGTTGGTGCCCAATGATAACTATTGCAAGTTTGAAAACTGGATCATGCCACTCTTTGACCAGATGCTACAAGAGCAATCTACTGAGGTAATGATTCCTCTTGGCTTAAACACAACTGGTAATAATCTGTTTCAATTTTCGTCCCGTATGTCCCTAGTTACCGAAATCCCCCAATAATGTGGATTGTGGCTACCCTTCCTTGTATGTGTCATGTGCCCATTATAGTGCACATGGTAGCTTCTGATGCATAAATTAGCTGCAAAGTTAGTAATTTGCAGGGGATGCATGAATGGTAGAGTACATCAATTATATCTTGTATTTAGCGACACTAGTAGTAATATGATTTTGATAGGGTTGTCTTCTAGTCTTTGAAAATTTCCTTAATTGAAGGGTACACAATTACTTTTCTGGAACAGCAAATAAGCAGGAAAGGAAAATAAAATAAAAATGAAGAGAACTTAAATCTGGCTCAAAGTACTTGCAAGTTACAGTACAACAGTATTTGTTTCACATGCTATAGTATAAGGATGCTTTAAACAACTGAAATTCTACGTAACATGAAGTCACGAACTTTATTGTAACCTGGCTCCATGAGTTTCTTTTCTTTCAGACGTATGCATCTAGCAATATATACACGAATAAACATCCAGACTACAGGATCTTGTCAAACCTAATGTGTGAAGTACACTTTATAAGTTTCTGCACGAATTGCTGAGGTCTACGCAGATATTGTTGCACCTTGGTTGATACTTGATCTTTTAATTAAAGATAATCCAGCATTTCCTACAATGTGAATTCTTTGTACAAGCTTCACTGCTGACCATACTTATGTTTCTGTTAATTTCTTGTTACCTACAGAATGTCTGGACACCATCAAAGGTGATTGCTCGTCTTGGCAAAGAAATAAATGATGAAAGCTCCTACCTTTATTGGGCATACAAGGTACCATGCTTTTGACAGTTCTTTGTAATTTTTACAAATTATCAGAAAGTCTGCAGGCATGTGTTTGTGTAAATGCTGATCATATTTAAGAAGTCTGTAAATAACTATGTTTGATAAACAGGGAGATAAACCAGGTTTTCTTCTTAAGAATTTTGTTGAGTTTGATTCTCTTATTGGTGTTGTTTTACCATAAAAAAATCTTAACCGTATTGAGTCTTATGATTTTACCCAGAAATAGTAATCATTCCTGAACCAAACTTTTGTTTTGTCTGAAGTGGCTGGTCACAGTTTAGCAGATGTAAGCATGGTAGAGTTGCTGGCTGGCTGTTACACTTATTGGGTTGTCCTTCACTTTATTCCATGGAGAATATGCTTCACACTGGGTTGTTTTTTCTGGGTTGAAATTCTTAACTTTCAAGAACTATTTGTTCAAAGACTGAAGTTGCAAAGTGCTGACTCGTTAAAATCGACCAGAACAATATTCCTGTATACTGCCCAGCATTGACTGATGGATCACTCGGAGACATGCTGTTTTGTCATGCAGTTCGCAATCCTGGTCTTATTATCGACATTGTACAAGGTAAGTTCCACTTTATTGATATCCTTACTTTGTGTTCGTTTTCAAATGCTTGAACATTTTTGCAGATATAAGGCTGATAAATGGTGAAGCCATTCATGCAAGCCCAAGGAAGACAGGGGTCATAATTCTTGGTGGAGGCCTTCCAAAGCATCATATATGCAATGCAAATATGTTCCGCAATGGTGCAGATTATGCAGTCTATATCAACACGGCTCAAGAGTTTGATGGAAGTGACTCAGGAGCACGGCCAGATGAAGCAGTTTCATGGGGAAAGATCAAAGGTTCAGCAAAACCTGTAAAGGTACATATATATATTGATCTTCACAAGTTCAGAGATGTTTTTGTTTTGTGTTTTGCATACTACTGGGCTCTGTTGGTGAAAAATTCCTTAGGTATAAGGTATAATGACCATGATGCATCTGCTCATGTATCTTGCAATGGTTTATAGAAAATTTCATCCATGATCCTG